CCATGAAGGGCAAAATCTGGAACGGGTTTGGAGGATTGTGCTAAAAGTGAAAGAACCCCTACCAGAACTTTTTGCTTGAGTAGGAGGAGCTAAGGAAAAGTAAAGGGAAACCACCAGACCTTGCCTGCTCTGACCCTGTGTAGACAGGGGCTTCAGAAGGGCTTGGACATAAGTTCGGTCAAAGGGGGCTTCACGGCCTGGCTGCCTCCTTCCAGCTGGAGCTCAGATGAAAGAGAAAGCTTCTCCGTTTGTGCTCTACTAAGAGACCTGGGGGACTGTCCTGGTCACCTGGATGGTGTGATCTGAAGCCTACACTTGGCTGTCTGGCAGAACCAGGGCAGAACCTGGGCCACAATGCAGAAGGCACCAGAATGTTGAAGTCGTCAGCCTATGTCCCTGCCCTTTCCTCGGACACTCAGATGGGGTCAAGAAACCTGTGTTAGTTCTGTACACAATTGGTTAAAAAGACAAAAAACTGTGTCTGTTTGAGGCATATAGTCCTGGGTTTTCTAAGAGTTACCATTTACTGGATGCCTTCTGTTTGCTAAGTATCTCATTTAATCCCACAGTATCTGTTCAGACACTTCATAGATTCTCCAGTTTAAGGTACACTCACCCAGGGTTGCGCATGTAATAACTGAGGATGCTAGGATGCTAACGCAGGTTCATCCCCCACCCCAGATCCCCTGCTCTTGTTCAGAGTTTCTAACACGGTTTACATCTGGGGCTGGATAATTCTGTGTTGTGAGGGGTTGTCCAGGGCATTAGAAGATGCTTAGCAGCATCTCTAGACTCTACCTATCAGACGCCAGTAAGATCCTTCCCCCCTCCACCTGTGACAACCCGAAATGTCTCCAGACGTTGCCAAATGTCCTCTGGTGGTGTGTGGCAACGCAGCTTCTCCTGCGCACTGAGAACCATGTAAGTCTAACCCACCACGCTGCACTGTTTCCTGGCACTTTGTAAGCGCCACCACATCACCCTGTCCTACAGGGAGCTATGTTGCAATTCCCCAAGTACTTTTATGGCCATTATCTCCTTTCCTGGCATTTGAGTGCGTGGCAGGATTTAATCCTGAAAGTTAATCTACCTCAAAATTACGAACACTGTTAAGAGATCTATAATATACATTTAGCCTTCTCCAGGAAATTGAGAGAAAAGAACATGAGTGAAATCCCATTTCATCTTTGGCCCCATGAACCACGGGCAAAGAAAAATTTGCTAACGCGTAGCCCTGTGAGAGCACGTTATGTGACTTTCTGGAGGATGAGGTCTGCCTCTTGTACATCTCTGTCTCCTGCACAAGTTTGCCTAAAACGGAACTTTAGCTGATGTCGAACATTGTATGGAACACCTCCTTCATAAAGAACCCTTAACTATTTGAGGAAAATGAAATTAAAAGTATATTCCCACAGTTTGTATCTTCCTAATTCACATATAAATTTTAATAAAATTCATATACTGAAACAATTAATGGAAATATTTATGGAAGTGCTGAGCTCTTAGTGCCAGGTTCTTCTTCCCTGTCACGGAAAAAACAGGGCAGAGTAAAACTCAAGTTCAACTAAAACAAATGTTCACCAGAGTCATCCCTTTCAACACATGCCAAGAGAACTGTAGCTACTGCACTAGAGTCATATTTTATTGGGTCAAGGAAAAAAATTATGGGAGAAGCTTTTACTTTTTTCCTTTAGATTGTCACTTAACTATTATACCTAGTATACAATAAAAAAGAAACATTTGCTTTTGAAAACACCTGAATTAAAAATAAAGTAGCTAGTTACAGTTGCCTTCAAAGTCGCTCTTTAAAAAACTCCTAGGAGGCCAGGAGTGTAAAAGCAAAATGTTCTCATTCACATAACCATTTGCAAAGCCTAGCTGAGGGGAATATTGCCACATAGGAAATGATAAATCTGCACATGGCTTCCAAAGAATTTTAAAATAACTACCAATAAATAATATTAATAATAAAACCAGCTAGACTCTATGGAGCCCTACGTGCCAGGCCCTGAACTCAGTGTTCTACATGCATAAATCTGATCAAATCTTCATTCCAGTCCCATGAGGCACATACTCATTAGTATCTTCTTTTTCAGGTAAAAAAAACTGAGGCCAAAAGAGATGTAATAACTTGCCTAAGATTACAGCCAGATCCAGGTTCGAGTGAGTGATGGCTGTATAAAGCTTTTTATTATATCCTGAAAAAAAGAAGAGAATTGAGGAAGACCATGGAGATGTTAACTCAGTTTTTCCCACCGGGTGCCATGGAGTCCCAGGACCGAAATGGATTTGCAGAAACCATTCTCTTCAACTTGCTTCTATATTAATCCTTTTACATGACATCTCAAGTAGAAGACATATTAATTACACACATATGTTCAGTGATTTTTCTGGATACCTTGTATGTGTGTGTGTGTGTGAGAAAACAAATCTTTTGTTTTGTTTTCTGTAAAAATGCACAGTGATGACAAGAACCTGGTAAAGAGTGCCTGCAAGGGAAAAGAAGGGCTTATTTTCTCCAGCTCAACAGGCCATAAAGTGTAACAGTAAAGTGATAGGACCAGTATTTTAACACACATACCAGATCATAAACACCCAAAGGAAGGTGCACCTGGATTACCTTCAATCCTAAACACACACACAGCCTCTACGGGATGCCCATCTTGGAACTGCCAGTTCTTCCAGAGGACTCTCATCACTTTAATGGCCATACTTCCTACGACAACCTTCACTTCCTACCTCAGAGGCCACCGTTGGTCCCACATGGTATTTGGCTCTTTCCCAACTGAGGAAGCTTTGCCATCAGGAGGCAATTCAGTTAAATGTGTTGCAAACTCTGAAGGCAGTGCCAAAGCACGAGCTTCAAAATTATTCTCAGCAATGACAGCATCACCAGAATTAGTGCACAGCTTGCCAAGATGAGGCTTTTGAAGGGGAGAAATACTCACTTGAATGTATAAATACTGGCATATTTCTTTTAACATTTGGATAAAGAATTGGAAGAATCAGCTAGCTTTATTTGCAAGTGAATAAATGTTCTGCTGCAATAATGATCATGCAGATTTTTGTACAAGGTTCTGACCACCCCCTTAATGGAAAAAAAAAAGCTTGTCCTGTAATGATATTTGTAAAAAGTATAAACCACTCCCCTATTAACCTGCATAATTATTGAAGAGACTTCTTTTTCATGAAGAAGGAAAACAAAACGGGGCCAAATGAATGCTAGTTGCCTACATAGTCCTTGATGCTCCCAGGAAGCTCAAATCTCCGTGCTGTCAGAAGACGGATCTACATCCAGGACAGAAGGAGCGGGAGGCAACTCTCTTCTCCTGGCCCCCACAAGGTCTGGTAACCTCCCAAAAGAGAAATCCACATAACAGAATCCTGGGCCTGGGTCTTCCTGAATTAGCTGTAGTACCAAACATGATCACACACACAGGAAGCTGGAAACAAAGACGAACAACAGAAATCAAACAAACAGACGCTACACTGGTCATTTGTTTATCTTTATACACACACTTGCATAGCTATCCACTGAGGTCCTAAGCAGCCCTGCTCCCTGCCAGGTGACTTGGACACTTCAGGAGTGGGTGCAGAATGTGGACATTTTGTGAGGGCAAAGACAGTCCACCTTCCGAGTAGATACCTTCCTATTAACTTCAGTAAGGGAGATCTCAGCAACCCCAACCATCCGAAAACCCTACAATACTCCGGGTGTTTATGTGGCTGAGGAATCCAGTGCATTCGTGGGCGATGTGTTTGTGTGTGTGCTTGTGCACATTGCTGACTTTCCTCCAGATTTTATTCAGAAATAGCCTCTCGCAGAGTACAGAGTGGGGAGCAAGTAGCACATACGGATCTAAAGATTACACACCCCTTTATTATGAGTTATGCCTAAGCCACACACAGGTAGATCTTAACTGTGCATCTGAAATCTCACCCCATAACTACTCTTTTAAACGTAGATTCTTTTCAGCTGGTCTCTGACCAAAATCACTTCTAACCCAGCTCAACAATACAGGCTGCATCAAAGAGCTCATCTGGGTCTCACCCTTGTTGGTCGGTAGCTGGGTGGCCCAGGGTCCACAGCTGCCTTCGGGTCCCCGCGCCCGGTCAGCGAGGTGCCCCCCCCCCGCCCTAGTCTCCCCTGCCCAAGTTGCTACCACTCCCCGAGTTTGCTGGATGCGGTGTCTACACCTGCGTCCTTTGAGTTTCCCAGTCTTGCTCTCTTGAGTGGCTGCCCTCTTGAGGTGCCCATGACCCCATGCCACCGAGGGGATGCGTTCTCTCGGCAGAGACATTCCCCGCGCCCCTGCCCCCCCCACTCACCCATCCGTCTCCGGATTCCCCGCCGCAGGGTTCCATCCCTCCAACCCCCTGTTCTCCATAAGGTAACCCTGGGTGCAGCACCCAGGCTCTGCGCACAACTCCGCTCCCCGCGCCCACCCTCTCACAGAAGCCCCTGCCGTCTTGTCCCCGAGAAGCCGCAAGCCTCGCCCCACCCTGCCCTTTCTGGGGCCCCCCTCCCTCCGGCTCCCCCTCCCGCCCCGCCCGCCCCGGGTTTCCTTCCCCCCGCACTCCTCTCCCGGGTTCTGCTCTCCGCCCAGCGGAGGGCGCCCGGAGAATACCGACGGGGTACTCCCGGTTCCGCCCCCCCACCCCCGGGTTTCCGTACCCTCGATACCCCGGGTCGCGATCCTGACCCCTCGGCGCTCCAGGTTCGGGCTCCGAGACCACCCAACGTCGCGATCCTGACCCGCCCCCTCGCCCTCCGGGTCGGGGCTCTGGGAGCGCCCGGCGTAGGTGCACTGACACCCCGCCTCCGGTTTCGGGTTTCCGGACCTGGCGATTCAGAACGCCCCTCCGGGCTCAGGTTCTGGGGCTCCCCTAAGCCGCGATCGCGACGTCCCCACCCCGCGTGCTCGCGACTCAGGGCTCCCCAGTGATGCGGTCCTGAGCCCCAGCCGGACCCGCTCCGCGCTCCCCGCGGCGGAACTCACTGTCAGGGGCGGCCGGTGTCCGAGAGCGCAGCCCAGATGGCTCGCCCGCAAAACCGCTGGGCTCCCAGCTCCCCGCTCCCCGCAGGCTGCTGTGACCCCGGCCCGCGCTGCACTGGGGAGCGGCCGGGAAAAAGGGGCCGGCTGGGGGCGGGCACCGCCGGGCTCCGCCCCTTCCCGGCCCCCGGGCGGGATGCGCAGACCCGGGCACCCCCTCCTCCGACTGCGTCCCCGGCCGCGCGGTAGAGGAAGTTGGCTGACGCCTCTTCCTTCCACCCAGGGCTCAGACCCGCACAGCCCCCTTTCAGCTGCTAAAGGCCGGAGGAGCTGAGACTGAAAGAGATGTTTAACCGCAGTCCTGTTCTTTCCAAGAACCCACCCTGGAGGCCTCCCCCAATTCTTTCAGGAGAGGGGACAAACAGCAAACTTCATCATTAATTTGATCCTGTCCTTCTCTCTACACTGGCATCTACACATGCAGGGTCATTCTGCCCATGAAATCATGTTATAGCACACCCAGGAGGGCCCTTGCAAACACACACGCCTTCGCGCTCTCGAGACACATTCATGAAGGGCTCTCCCATGACTTAGGAACCACACAAACACACCTTTTGCACTGACACGCTGGGAACGCATTTCTATACCACTCTTCTCATTCCACAGCACTCCAGCCGGTCCTTCTATAGCAGTGACCTACACATACAAGCAGCAGGGAGAAGAGGAAATTCCACATCTAGTCTCAGACTTGCTCCTGACCCACAATCTATATTTTACCCTGAGAAAAACATGCTCGAGCTGTGGGAGCATCACTTAACAAATCAAGTTGTCTTTGGTGTTAAAAAAAAAAAAAAAGCCGTCTTTGTTATCTGGAAAATGAAAAACTGATCAGATCCTGGGAGCTGGTCAGCATTAGCGCTTCTGTGAGGGGTTCATTTAATTCATTTCATGACTTTTCTGAAATAATCTGGCCAATTTCTGGTCTGTTGATACCTGGCACTTTTTCCTTCATTATACTACCCTGCTTCAGTGATGTGTCTAACCACACCTCACATTTGTATAGTGTGGCACTTCACCTTTCAAAACATTTGAAAATTCATTATTTTATTTATCCTCAACAAAACATCACCCAGCAATGGCAGTAGGTTATTCAGTGGTCTTCAGGGCTACCGCTTTTCCCACGAAATCAGGAGCCCAGCACACATGGACACTGGTGGAAATGCCCCACTAGGCCTTTGAACATTTGCCCTCTCCAACCCAAACATGTTGATAAATTCACCCATATTCATAAAATCTTGAGCCACCAATATTTATTAACAAGCATTTATTTTCCAGCCAGAGATCATACTTGTAGAACAGAGTCGATTGAGAGGAAGTGAAAAGTCTCTTTTCTTCCTCTCTCTGCCACTCTCGCAACAGAATTACAGGTCAGCAAATAAGAGGTTCCAACCACAGGCTCAATCCAACTGAAGTGAGCTGCGGGTGAGCTGACTAAATCTGCAGGACACATGCTGATTATTCTAGCAGCTTCTTTTCTCCCGAGGGATGCTCTGTTTGGTGTGTGGAGGGGGTTCTCTTGTTTTAAAAGAAGATCGACAAGTCTTTTAATGCTTTTTCAGTGTCACAGTAAGAAAATGGCAAATGTTCCTTCTCACTGAAACTTCATCTAGGGGGCCGGTGTGAAAGTGTAATGGGCGTTAAGCATTTTTACCTGTGGGGGAGGGCGGCAGTCCAAAGCCACCTAGGTAAGTAAGAGTGGCAGTTTCGCATCCCTCGGGCTTTGTTTGATGTGGTAAAATACACATAAAACAAACTTTACCATTTTAACTTTTAAAAATATTTTTCATTGTGTTAAATATGCAGAATATAAATTTTTCCCCTTAGCCATTTTTAAACTGTACATTTCACTACTGTTAAGTACATTCCCATCCCTCGTGCCTTTTTGAACTACTTGAATCTCACACTAGATATTTTGGTAACTCTGGAAGAAAGAATCCTAAAGTGAACTTACTATTTTTGAATCATAATAAAAGTCCTTTGGCTCTTTTGTAAAGGACAGTCAGTGCAGCCTTTAGAATATGGGAGTTCACAGCCCGCTTCTCTCCATGAAACACTCCCATCTGGCAACACAATTTTGGCTTCTGGTTTTTCCAAAAGCTGGAAACAGGCAAGATCTTGGATATGGCAATATTTCCTTTGAAAGAAGAATGCTAAACTGCTAATCCAATCAACGTCCTATCAGACACATTTCCCTTTCAGATTGTCCTTGAAAGCCACAGACGCAGGACAGTATGCAACACACTTAAAAAGAAGACACATAAGATTAAGGAGCTATTTTTGTCTCAGACTCTAACAAAATAACTTGATCCATTTTAGGTTGTATACATACCACACTGGCACTGTTTTTCTATCACTTCTGCTGCGTGTTTATACAGCATCCCTTTCTCAAGAAGCTCAAAGTGCATGTGATGATATCATGTTACTAAAGTTCATATTTTTTATGTGAAGTAGGAAGAGAATAGGAACTGTTAGCCTGACTGTAACACTAACAGTTAGCCTGACTGTAAATGGCAGTGTGAGGTGGTTAAACCATTTTCCTGAAACATCTTATTAGACTGATTTATACTGGTCTATCTTAAAAGAAGATAGCACATACATGATAACACATCCAAGAAACAGTTGTTTAAAAACCTTAGTTATTATTATTATTTCCCTCCCCACTACATCTTACTGAGAGCCTGAGGGCCATTCTTCCCCATCTTGGCAGAGAAAAGGAGAGGACTTTGAATCGTGGACTTGGAAGTCAGATCATCCTGAGTCTGAGCTCCGGTAAGGTCACTTAGAGCTTTGGTGAGTTACTTGACCTTTCTGAGTTTCAGGCCCAGAAAGGGCCTGAAAATCCATGAAATAGAAATAATAACCATACCCATGTCATATGGTTATTTCTAGGATTAAATATAATAATACACATTAAGCACTCAACATTGTGCCTATCACATAATGTGAACTTGGTGAACGTAGTTGAAAAGGTACTGGCTTCATGTAAATGGCTGCTTATAAAAGCTTTTGTTCCAGTGCTTTTTCTACTTGAAGAAAAGATGTTTACTATCCCTGCAGGCTAGGCTGCGTGGGAGGAACTCGGAGAATCGTGAAGGTTTATATTTCTAACTCTTAAACCAAATCTCTATTCTTTAACATTTCATCAGAAGATAGCCACCCATACTTAGCTTATCTGTGTACAACCCTCTGCCAGCTGGCCAACTGGGAAAGCAACCATGATGCTAATTTCACCCACAGGAAGCTCTAATGAGCTGTGGTTGAATCAGATTAAAAATAAAAATAAGAATAATGGTTTTTGCACTGGCTGGTGTGGCTCAGTGGATTGAGTTCAGGCCTGCCAACCAAAGGGTGGCCAGTTTGATTCCCAGTCAGGGCACATGCCTGGGTTACCAGCCAGGTTCCCAGTAGGGGGCACATGAGAGACGACTGCACAAAGATGCTTCTCTCCCTTTCTTTTTCCCTCCTTTCTCTCTCTAAAAATAAATAAAATCTTAAAAAAAGAATAATGATATTCTTGTGTTGTGTACCTATGTTATCTCATTTAAAAGTGAAATGGTAAGAGTTCATTAAGGGCTAATTTTATTCCATCTGGAGTGGTTCATTCCTTTTTTCCCCATTTTATTTCTTAATAATAATAATGAACAATTCAGGAAGCACACAAACGAACACAGTAGACAAGAGAGACAAAATGCAGAAACTTCTCCTGGGCCTTCAGCAAACGTGTGAGGCTGCACCACCTTGCATCTGATCTCCCACCCTCTGAGGGAACTAGTTTCTGATTGAAGAGTTGCAGGTGGCAAACTGTAAGAGTGCATGATAAAATGACCACCCAGGAACCCTTTGTATCATTAACAAAATAATTGCATCCTACCAATTTAACAGCAAATAAAAGTGTAGATATTGAAATATGACACCTTTCCTTATTCTTCAACAGAAATTTGCAACTAAAAAACTTCAATACATGGTCTTTATTCCCCCTCCCCTTCAAAGTTTCTAACAATTGTGCTTCCTTTCACTTTGCTCCTGGTCCTTAGTCACTATGTCCTGGGGGAGCAGTGTGGTCAATCCCTAAGCCTAGAGAAAATCAGAAGAATTGAACTTCCAAGACTGATGTTAAAAAATTTGAGAAGTGAACACTTTTCAGTCTGCCCAACTCCAGTTCAATCTGGACTGTGTTTCAAAGGAATATTTAGGAGGGAAATTTCTCAGATTTAGAACTAGGGAAGGAGACCCATGTGTGGGGACCCAGGCTGCTGTGGGGGAGGAAAAATAATTTTCCTTCTACCCTTTTAAGTTCTTATGCCTGTCTAGTAATCGGATTAACATGAGACAGACTAATAAGAGAAAAGGACCAAATTTATTGTGCACGTATATACAGGGGTTTTCTAAGAATATAAAATCCCAGGACAAATATAAGGCGGTAAGGTTTACCTGCCCTTTTGGACTAAGGGGAGGGAGCTGGGGGTCCGGGTTGCAAAGGGAAAGCAGGCAGTTTATGGGTGATGGGAACAGCGACCATTTGGGAAACCAACTGTTGCCCGGCCACCCAGATACCATGGGGCACAGAGCAGGGTCCAACAAACATGCTGTTAGGTTCTTCCCTATCTGCCACTCTTCATTTATTTCAGCAGAATTTTTTAGTTATTCCTTTAGACAGCTAAGGGGGAGGGTTAAAGATTCCTTCTGAGTCTTTTGTTTCTTAACAACAACCAGCTTAAAATAATCAATATCCCAAAAGGACGTATTTGGGGGTGGCAAACTCTATTCTCCCCCAGTGGAAAACTGAGGCTTGAGCCTCTAGAATTTGCCACAGTCCCTGTTGGTGTGTTGCTAGAGGGAGGACATGACCCTTTACAGCTGATGCCAGTCCGTCCTCTGTCGGCTACATTAGACTGATGGGTAAAGGCACAGACCGTCCTCCGTTGGGTCAGAATCCCCAGGAGTATCAGAGTGTTCTGTCCATGGCTTTTTAGGTGATGTCTTTCTGGAGGAGACTTATCTTGGCTTTCAGTTCCTTTAACTAGGATGGAAAGATGAAAATGGCAATCTTGGACAACATGAATAACAACTGCATTATTCATGCTTGATTCTGGCTTGGTTGCAGGGTTTTAATGATTATAAAAAGAAAAAAAACA